GTCTCCCGAGTGAGCCACAGGCCGGCCCAATAAATATTTTTTGAATAAACAAATGTCACACCAGGCGTTGAAGCTGGGCCGGGACCAGAACTAGAGACTCCTACATCCCCCTGGGTCATCACATGGTCCCCAGCAGACCAGAGACAAGAGAGGCAGTTTTGATTCATGGTGGTTTGTATGGGCTGGTAGTGAAATGGCTGGGGGTCCACATGGGCCCCAACTATTTCAGGCACTGCTGGGTGGCTTCTCCAAGTAGGAGCCCAAGTTCTAGCCATTTTCAGCCCTGGGAGACCACAGTCCCCTGCCTCCAGCTGGGACCACTGCAGATCCCTGACTCACAGGCTGCCTTCAGGTAGGAGATGGACCACCTCCAGGGACCTCCTTCCAGGCATGTCCCACCCCGAATGGCTGACGTGCACAAGAGCTAGACACAGCTGCTCACCTGCCTGTGATTTCACCAAACCTGGCATGTTCCCCAGCTGCCACACCACCCTAAGCCAGAGCTTCCTGTAAACACACGACTTCCCTCTGCGCCACCACTTGTGAAGGGAAGGACTTGGGGTTTGGAGAATTCAACCAAGGGGTGTATGACTAGAAAGGCATACTACCGGACTCTGGCCCTGCCACTGACTTGCTGATTTGACCTTAGCAAATCCTTTTCCCCTCTGGGCTAGCTTCACTGTCCTGGACCTAGGTGATTCCAGCTGTGCCCCTCCCCTAATCCCCATGGACCTGCCTGGGTCCTGGCCACCTGGGTCAGCCCAGGCACACAGAGGGAGGAAAGCAGAAGAAAAGCAAACACAGGTGCCTCCAGTTGGCAACAGAAATGGCCCATGGATGAATGTGGGCCTAAGGCAAGGATTCCTGTCCCCGGGCTTGGCCCAGTGCCATGCAGCCAGGGCCACCCACAGCTGAAGAGCTCCCTTCAAAATTCCTGAGCAGTTTCAGGGCAAGGGAGGATCAACTGGGAGTCTGTTCCTGGAGACTAAAAAGAGAAGAGTAGAAGGGATCGAAGTAAGATCGCTAGCAGAATTGGCTGGCCCTGAGTGGGGGCTGTGGTGCAGACAGCATCTGAAAGTAGGAACTCACGTGGCAGAAGCAGGCAGGGGGATGGAGAAGATTTGAAGGGTCAATTCTGAGACGATGGTGTGACGGCGCCGGTTGGTATTTGGTGGAGGGAGGGTAGAGGCAGCCTGGGAGGTAGGGGGCAGGGTGGCTGGCAGGCCTGGGAGCCAGTCTGCAAACCCTGGGGTTTCCTGTTTGCCTAAAGGCACAGAGTTAAAACACAGGGCCAGATCCAGCAGCCCAAGGACACCTAGACACGTGCACCTGACACGCCCCACCAGGGGCACAGTTCC